TCTTATCTGAGCTAACGTCGTCGCGGGACAGCTCTACGATAGATGGCTCGGCACTTTACCTGAGCCACCCTGAGCCGTATGACTTAAGTTTTAACACCGACGGCGTCAACACGTCTGGAAATATAAATGCATTGGCCTACCCTCAGGGCCGGCCCTGAGGGGGGGCAGAGGGGGCGGCCGCCCCGGGCCCCCAAAGTATAGGGGCCCCCACCCAGGTTCTATGCACCTAGGCTACGGCCCGGGATGCTGGGCAGCGAATGCACACAGGGCCTGTACGTGTTGTCATCCGATGCAGGTAGCTAGCCCTCAGAGCCGCTGGTTCCTCGTCGATCGATCTCCTGTATGCGTTGCCCTAGCGGATTCCTTCTAATCACGACGGCGTTCCGTAATTCATCTATTCCCCGATCTATCCCTAAAAAAAAACTATTCCCCGATCTCGTATGCTCATGGCTTAACTGAACAAACCGGATCGGAGGCAGCCCGCAGCCGCCATTGCTTGTTTCCCTTCCTCTCACGGCAAGCCGGTGGTTGGGATGGATGGTGGAGCCACGTTCATTCCAGACCTCAGGGAGACGTGCTGGCCCGCGTTGTTCTATCTGATGATGGCCATGTTGGATCTGAGTCAGTCCGGCCATGCAGCCGGCCAAGATCTGACGGTGGAGACGCAGGTTACAAGTTGCGTGCCGGCGAACTACGCCACTCTCCGGTCTCCAGGTGATGGACACATACATAGTGACGCAAATTGCCAAGCGCCTCTCATCTCATGTCAGTCTAAATCACATCATGGCGATTGCCTGATCAGGTGATCAACGTTGATCCGATCAATCCGAGGAAACATCACTATGTACTTCGTATATCTATACTAATCTCTAATGGTAAGAAACCAAGGGCTATTGTGTTCTTTTTAATTCATTTTTAAGGTAAATCATGCATGCTACTTACTCAAAAGGTCAGGGATCTCAGCAGAGACAAAGGGAAGAATACAGTCCAGGGATCCGAGGTAACATCAGACTATATACTTCCTCTATCTATATTGCAGTGATCGAGCATTGATGGAATTTAATTTTGGTAACATCAGACTATGTACTTCGTCTTTTAGCAGTGCTTATTATCATGTTGACTTTGCACTCGGTAAAACAGAGAAAAAAATGAAACATAAACTATAAAGAGGATTTGTCAGCCCCATCATAAGTGAATTTTATGAAGGATTATTAGAAAAGGTTCAAAGGTAATATGTATAAATTATTTGATAAGAATGTCGCTTTTGCCGCATTTTTGGGGCATTTAAGCAATTTAAGCAATCATATATATTCCTATAATGTTTATGTCAAGGGGGCCCCAAGTTTTGGTTTCGCCCCAGGCCCCTGAAACCTCAGGACCGGCCCTGCCTACCCTCAGCCCATCTGCCCAACGCTCTCATTCACTCTCCCATTCCCCCAGTCTCTCCATTGTTCACTCATACCCAGCTCCGTCCCCATCTCCGGCGACATGTCCGCTTCGTCTACATCATCTCTCCCCGTCCCGGCGGACTGGCTGCTACCCTTGATGGCATGTCCACTCTGCGGCGACGAGGTAGTGACAGCCGTCGCAAGGAGTGGGAACCAGGTTGGGCATCGTTTCTACAAGTGCATCCGTTATGATGCAAGTATTTTTTGATCCGATCTTGTCAGGTTTTTCATATTGAATCAAGATTTCACACACATCTCACCGGACTGACATAGAAGAGTTTTCACACACATCGTTTCGATGGACGCATGTTGTCCAAGTGTCGCTACGTCAGACGCATTTACATGCCACGAAGAAATGCTTGATCAAGGGAAGAAACAAAGGCCTCAACATCCAGACGACGCTGCTAGTCCCAGTCAGCATCAGCCAAAAAAAACTGCTCAAATGAAGTTGTTTCGCTCAAACATATTCAGTAACCATGATCATGGATACAAAACGCAACTCAACAGGATGCAACCACTGTAAATCAATTTTTAGCTTTCGAAATGCCAAGGCCTCCCATATAAAATTATGTATGATTCAAATAGAGACGGCAGGAATATATTTTTTAGAAATCAATTAGTGCAGAAACAACAATAAACATGGTAACAATACTAAAGTTTACGTGTTGATATCATCTCAAACAGCAGATGGTAAATTCAGACTAGCTACCAAATTTTTCAGAAAACCATAAATCCTTATGCGTGCTCTAGGACACAACTCTAGATCGTTACAAACATGGACAGTACATCTCAGACTAGCTATCAAATTGTTCTCACAACATCCCACATTTTTTTCTGCTTGCCCAAGGAATGCAAGACCATGATATCTCATATTGGAACAGCATACAAATCCTGATCCGGGACGGACTGCAGATCAGACCTCATGAAAAAGACAAATACATATTCATCGACCGAAAATTGCACAGCTCAGCTCTCGGCAAACCCAAGAGGCCTCTTGCATGTGTTCCCCGGTGTCCTTCTATTCCGCAGTTCTGGCATCTGCCGTTTCCGTGGCTTCTTCGGAGCATCCCCTCGCTCTGGACATGTGGTCCTCTTGTGCCCCTCGCGGCGGCAAATGCTGCAGAACCTGGTACTTTTACTCAGCCCTTCGTACAGTGCCTTCTCCCTGTTGCTTGTCGGCCTGCCAGATCCTCTACGCTTTTCTGGTGCTACGAGGCACTGAAGTTCATTCATGCCTCATGCCGACAGAATTCGCAGCACTGTTGCATTGGTCAGCCTCCTGATCAACCAAAGCAGGATCGCGGTTGCAAGTTACACTGGCATTTCCATTTTCAATGAGACGATCCTTGAATGCCAATCCATCCCGCGCGACCGCCAGAGGCGCTCCACCCCGCAGCAGAGTCCAGCCCAGAATGCATGTAGTCATAGCATGCAACACTTGCGTCCCCCATTCACACAACTTCCATGGCTTTAAAATATAATGTTGCATGCCTGTACGCACGACAAATTATGCGATTTGTCGTTCTGGTATTGAACCAGGTGATCCGGTAGTATAACCCTCGCATCTCTTGTCCACCTTTTCAGGATATGGTACTTAGGGATTTCATCAAGATGTAGAATCTCCATCACCTACATTTTTTTCATAATTAACATATGTTAGTGAGACATGTCCTTTTTTTCCTTTGAAAAACTGAATTATGTACATCAATACACTTATGCAGATTACCCTCAAAGCATGGCAGCAAAGCATTGATTTCCTGTGTGCTCAAATTGACCACATTCGCACGTGAACATTGATTTGTCTTCGTTAACTGTCACCTCTTACTCCACTCTACTCCACTTCTCTCTCTTTGCTGCATTATTGTGAGTTGTGATGTATTTCCTCATCCTTTCTACTTCAGTCACATTGTATGCAGTTCCTTCTATTAGGAGGCGGCCAAATTCCTCAAACATATTCCTTGTATATATTTTGCTGGCATGGCGCTCTATCGCAAGGTTAGCCTGCCGCACGGCGCCTCCCTGACATAATGAAAGTATTAAAATAGATTTCTGTTTTTTACTGATTTCTGCTCAAGAACTGATCTTTTTTTTCCCGCAAAAAAAAGATCAGTTCTTGAGCAGAAATCAGTAAAAAACAGAAATCTATTTTCTTGAATGGGAGCAACATATTTACAATCATTGTCCTCTTCTCCTCGTAGCTTTCATTGCGCTCACGGTCAAACTGAAGCCTCATGTATTGCCGGACAAAAACATGCATCGGGCTTGCGGGGGGCATGTATGACTTCAGCATATGGTTTGCACTCTCACTCCTCTGTGTACTTGTCATTTTTTGCACAAAACACACCTCTTAAATATGGTTTTGCCCATTTATGTCTTGTCTCATATATTTGGGTCATATAGTTAGGCCCCCTCAAGTTGTACTTATCAAGCAGCGCGTCCCAGGCTGTTTCAAATTCCTCCTCAGCTAACATGTGGTTAACAACTTTGTGAAATTCAGCTTGGAAATCACACTTTTTCGTGTAAAACAGCCCCAGTGTTTCCTTCGCCTTCTTCAGAACATGCCACTTGCACCAACAGTGGACAGTGTTTGGATAAATTTTCTTGATCGCAACCTCCATTGCTCTGCATTGGTCTGAGCAACCAAAAAACAGTTTCAATCAGAACCATAATTCAAGACTTATTTCCTTGCATGTTTTTATGTCATAATTCATTACTGCGTCCAGTGCAATTTGAAGGGATCTACAATAAAATATGTACAAGCAAGGGACATTTTTAGTGTTCAAATCAATCACCTGTTAGTATTGTTTTTGGTGCAGGTCCGCCCATCATGCGAATGAATTCTGAAAACACGCCATTCGAAGCTCTCTTCCTGCTCGTCGCGCATCGACACTCCTGCCAGGATGATACTCTGGTAGTGATCGAATGGCATGTCGTACAGATTTGTCCTGTATGTGGTGTCGAATGTGACCACGTCACCAAAGAACTTGTACTGCATCCTGCTGCTCCCATTAGCCCACATGAGATTCTTCACCTTGTTGTCTTTCTCGGCGAGCACCACAAAGGAGAATCCAGGGTCACTCGACCGAATGTAGGCAAACACCTGTAGTGTCTTCCGTACATCATCTTCAACCTGCTCACGACTAATCTTCTCACAAATGTTCCTCAGTGTCCTTTTAGTGAAAGGCACCTTCTCAACCGAACCAAAGAAGCTCCCAATTATGATGTATACATTGCCAAGGTTGACGTTGTTCTCCCTCAACTGCCTTATTAAATCTTTGGTATAGACGTCTATGTGTTTATGAGATGGCTAGTGCACTTTCTCTCCCATTGTAAGCGACATCGAATGATTGTGGCTCGCCCGGTGCTCTGTTATGTACCAACTGTTGTCTGATGCACGTAACAGTCTGATCAGAGCCGGGCACTCGCACATGCACGATCTGCTGTTTTCAGCGTCTGGTTTCCCCTGCATACCATACAACAGAGCTAGTCAAAGAATATCCCAGCAATTTGATATGTACAACCAAATTCACTTTGTACACTTTTTTTTTCATTTTAATCTGAAACTGAAAGGCCGCTCACCGAACAACCACAAACTATCTCCTGTATGCTTTTGGTTCTCTCGGCGTTCAGCCTGCTTTTTCCATATCTTATCCCAAAACAGATTTCCCAAGAATACAAGTTGTAGAAATCATACGCCTCGCCCAGTGAATCAAAACTAAGACCTAGCTCAGGTCGGACCACATTCTTGTCAGGTTGCTCAGCGTATTTACGCATTGATAGCTCCAGGGCGCTCATCCTTGATGGACAGGGCACACGGTCCGGTGGCACACTCCCGAGACGAAGCCTGCAGCGAGTTGCAAGCCCCACAATTTACATGCTGGATGTCTATGAGATTATCAAACAAACTGATTGTCACGAACAAATGTCAGAGAACCATCTCTCCCTGTATAGTCTTGCAAAGCACAGTTTTTCAACCTCCCTGTGTCATCATATTATTTTCTAATCTAAAAAAGGCAAAGCCTAGTTCGTCTAGAAACAAAAAACACAAAAACCAATTTTGACAGTTCACACCCGTACCATCAATTTTTACATGTCTGCATTTCTATGTGAGAGAAGATTGGTGAAACAAGT